GGGATATTGGGATATTGGGATATTGGATATTGGATATTGGGACATTGGATATTGGGATATTGGGATATTGGGATATTGGGATATTGGGATATTGGGATATTGGGATATTGGGATATTGGGATTTTGGGATTTTGGGATTTTGGATATTGGGATATTGGGATTTTGGGATTGGGATGAGCTGGATCCAGGCTGGGAGAGCTGGGAATGTTCCCCTGGAGAAGGAAAAGGATCCAGGGAATGCTCAGAGCCCCTAAAGGGGATCCAGGAGAGGGATTTGGGGTTTGGGGTTTGGGATTTGGGGTTTGGGATTTGGGGTTTGGGATTTGGGGTTTGGGATTTGGGGTTTGGGGTTTGGGGTAGGGACAGCACACAGGGAATGGCTCAGAGTGGGAAAAGGAGATTTCAATGGGATTTTGGGAGGAATTCCCAGATTTGCAGGGAATAAAATGGGATTTAAGGCTCCTCCCCACCCCAAACCAGGCCGGGATCCTCTAAAATCCCAAAAAAATCACCCTGGGCTGGTCCCAAACCGGGCTGGGCTCAGCCAGCTCCCAAATTCCTCCACTGCAATTTCCATCCCTTTGTTTCAGAGTGAAAATTCCCATTTTTAACTTCCCTCCTTTGCCAATAAAGGGGAAATAATTTTATTTTTCATTTACAGGAATTAAATCCTTTTGTTTCAAAGTGAAAATCCTCATTTTTCACCCTCTTTCCTTTTCCAATAAAGGGTTAATAATTTCATTTTTTTTTCTTTTACAGGAATGAAATCCTTTTGTCTCATTGTGAAAATCCCCATTTTTCACCTTCTTTCCTTTTCCAATAAAGGGTTAATAATTTTATTTTTCATTTACAGGAATTTAAATCCTTTTATCTCATTGTGAAAATCCCCATTTTTCACCTTCTTTCCTTTTCCAATCAAGAGTAAATAATTTTATTTTTCCCCCCCCACTTTTTTATTTCACACACCCCCTTAACCCACACCCACAACCACATCCATCTTCAAAATAAAAACCCCAAAAAAACAAAAAAAAACCCCAAAAAACAAACAAAAAAAAAAATCAAACCCCATCTTTAAATCCTGTCTGAACCCCGAGCCTGCAGCTACAATGAAGCTCCTCAGTGGGGAGGGGGTGAAAAGCAGATTTTGAAAAAAAAAAAAATTATTATTATTATTATTATTTTTTTATTTAGAGCCCAGGGGGTTCTTTTTTTTAATGAGCCGTTTCTTTAAGTACTGCATAAAAAAATCCCCGAAATTGATAGTCCATTTATCCTGCCCCATACCTAATGCAAAAGTCATTAAGATGCATTATTCTTAATGTTTATCCTATGAGCAGCTCAGAGAAAAAAAAAAAATCTTTTTATTTTTTATTTTATTTCATTTCATTGTTCCCTTTTCTCACTTCCCTGTGCCAAGCACCTCCGTGGGAAAAAAAAAATCAAAAAAAAAAAAATCAAAATTTGGGTTTGGTTCTGATTGAATTTCATTTAATTTGGGTTTTTTTTCTGATTTAATTTGGGTTTGGTTCTGGTTTAATTTCATTTAATTCGGGTTTGGTTCTGATTGAATTTGGGTTTGGTTCTGATTGAATTTCATTTAATTTGGGTTTGGTTCTGGTTTAATTTCATTTAATTAGGGTTTGGTTCTGATTTAATTTCATTTAATTTGGGTTTGGTTCTGATTTAATTTGGGTTTGGCTCTGGTTTAATTTCATTTAATTTGGGTTTTTTTCCGATTTAATTTGGGTTTGGTTCTGATTTAATTTCATTAAATTTGGGTTTGGCTCTGGTTTAATTCCACTTAATTTGGGTTTGGTTCTGGCTTAATTTCATTTAATTCGGGTTTGGTTCTGATTTAATTTGGGTTTGGCTCTGATTTAATTTCATTTAATTTGGGTTTGGCTCTGATTTAATTTCATTTAATTGGGGTTTGGTCCCGATTTAATTTCATTTAATTTGGGTTTGGTCCTGATTTAATTTCATTTGATTTGGGCTTGGTTCTGATTTAATTTCCTTGAATTTGGGTTTTTTTTCTGATTTAATTTCACTTAATTTGGGTTTGGTCCTGGTTTAATTTCACTTGATTTGGGTTTGGTTCCGATTTAATTTCATTGAATTCGGGTTTGGTTCTGGTTTAATTTCATTAAATTTGGGGTTTTTTCTGATTTGATTTCATTTAATTTGGGTTTGGTTCTGGTTTCATTTCATTGAATTTGGGTTTTTTTCTGATTTAATTTCATTGAGTTTGGGTTTGGTCCTGATTTCATTTCACTGAATTTGGGGTTTTTTCTGATTTAATTTCATTTCATTTGGGTTTTTTCTGATTTAATTTCATTGAATTCGGGTTTGGTTCTGATTTAATTTCATTGAATTCGGGTTTTTTTCTGATTTCATTCCATTTAACTCTGATTAAACCCTTCGAAACAAGCCAAAAAAACAAAAAAATTGAAAAAATTGAAAAACCACCTGGGGAAAAAAAAAAAAAAAAATTGCTAAAAAAATCTAAAAACGCTGAAAGGGAGGCGTTGGACTCACATAGGAGAGCATGGCCTTCATCTCCTCGTCGCTCCTGACCGTGATCCGATCCCCATCCTCATCCTCATCTGCCGGGAGACAGAAAATTCCCATTTTCATTAAAAACACCCATTGCCCCAACTCCGAGACAGCACCGAGTCCTGACACCGGTGGCTGCGAGATGAAAATCGAGGTTGTGGCGCTGGAAAGGGAGCCCAGAGCTCCCAGCTCGCTCTTGGCAGATTTTCCACGGCCAAAATTCCCCCGAAATTCAGCGGAAATTTCCCGGAATTCCCTTCCTGAGCCCCTCCCCCACCCCTGAGCCCCTCCCCCAGCCTGGAATTCCATCCCTGAGCCCCTCCCCCACCCC